AGGTGCTCAGGCATGAAAATATGCTGCTCAAACACTATACTTTTCTGCTCACACTGAAAAAAAATTAGAGGGAACATTGGTTTTGATTATGCCTTTGTAATAGTTACACACGATAAAATATTGCTACAAAAAGAGATGACAAATCAGAAGTACAACAGGAAACCACAGCAGGTCAAGATGACAAGGTCACTTTTTTTCCCCAGTCGCCTTCCTTTCCTCCCAGTACTGAATGTAAATTGCGTGATTCAGTCTTACTTGATTCACAAGAGGCCCACTCTACAAATGCTTGTGCATTTGAAATCAAATGAAGGTATCCAGAAAGGGTTCCGGGAAGATCAGTTAAATTAATTATCGTGAGCTAAAGCCCTGCACCTCAAAGGATTGTTGTTTTTTTCTTTGACAGAAACCACATTACTGGATCTCAGGTTCTTTTAATCACCAAACCTGGCAGCTGAAAATAAAAGGAAAGCAAGAGAAGGGGCTGCAAGTTTTATGTATATTATAGCGGGTCCCTGTGAAATTATTTCTAAGTGACCTCTTCGTTTTGGTGTTTTACTAGAGTTATATAATTGTTTTATAAAAATCTGCAAACCAATCTTTATTACGGTCACACGCCAGCATACACAATGCTAGTCAAAAGCCTGTTGGGAGAGGTTCGGATTCTCTTCTCGCCAGTGGCCCAACCCTCCGCGTTTTCCCTTAAAGCCGGCGGCTGCCGAAAGTAAATAACAAGGTTCGCTCTGAGGAAGAAATGGCTATACACCCCGCCCTGCCGTGAGCTTTCTAATGAATGAAGGCGAACTGAAGCGCCGTTTACATTCCCCCCCCCTCATTGTGACGTCGGCAGACCCTGCTGCCTTCCATTCACAGCGAGCGAAAGCAAGAATGGTGCTCGACGCCGGAGAGAAGGGAAAGGAGAGAGGAGAGGATGTGGGGGGCGGAGCGAGGTAGTAAAAGGAAACCTCCCCCGCACTCGAGCCAGCGTGCGGGGAGCATTGCCACTACCAGCAGATCCGTTATTAATGACTTGAGCCTGATACGGCGCGGAAGCAGAATGTTCTAAGGCCTCAGCCGTTCCCGGGCCAGGAAGGAGCCTGCGCAGAGCCGGCAGCCATGGTGGAGCTACGGGAGATGGACTGCAACGTGCTTCGGCACCTCCTGCATCGCGGGGACCGCAACGGCGGGAACTACAACCAAAACGGCGGCGGCGGCGGCGGCACCGGCACCACCACCACCAGTAGCAGTTCCTCCCCTCCTCCCGCTGGCGGGAAGTGCCTCCTTTTGGACTGCAGGCCCTTCCTCGCTCACAGCGCCGGCTACATCTGCGGCGCGCTCAACGTGAGGTGCAACACCATCGTCCGACGGCGGACCAAAGGGTCGGTCAGCCTGGAGCAGATCCTGCCGGCGGAAGACGAGGTGCGCTCCCGCCTGCGCTCGGGTCTCTACTCGGCCGTGGTTGTGTACGACGAGCGGAGTCTGCGGGCCGAATCTCTGCGAGAGGATAGCACCGTGTCGCTGGTGGTGCGGGCGCTGCGCAAGGACGCGGAGCACACGAACATATGCTTGCTGAAAGGTAAGGGGGGGCGGTGCCCACGAATATTAGCCGGGGGGGAGTAGAGTCAAGCGTTTGCACTACTGTGGCCCTTAAGACTCGCTTCCCATACGCTGGACTCTGTTTGAGCCAGACCATCCAGCGGATTATGGGTTCAAAAAGGCCGGTTGGGATGTGCAGGGTTTAAATCCCTAGTACAGCCTGGGAAGGACAATGGCACTTCAGCATGTGCCGCTGCCCCCTCGCGATTTGGGCTCTCCGAGGCTTGAGGTTTATAATTCAGACTGATCTGGAAGGACCCCACCATCGCCCTTACGCCAGCTTTGCAAGAGGAGGACGGAGACAAGTCGACTTAGCAGGGTCGGAGAGGGAAAAGGGCCCGGCTCGGAGACAAGTCTTCCCCGTCCCTGTTAAGACGCCGTTTCAGTGTATCTGCTCTCTTGCAAAGGCTGCGGGGACTCGCCAGCGAGCGCTGCCGGGGGCGGAATGAAGGGAGGAGGAGGTGGTCTAAATCCCACCCATTCAAAGGCACAACGTGTGAGCCGCGTGTCAGTCCCCTCTCACGCCCTTCTTCACTTCCGTCTGGCGGGCGAGGGGCGGGGAGAGAGCTCTTTCTGGCGTGGTTTGAGCAGCGATGACGCCAAGGGCCCCGCGGGTGTTCTCTCGCTTGGCTTTGCGCCCCTCCGTCCGCCACCTGACTCGGGCTTCGGGGCAAAGTGTAAGACGCCCGTTATTACAAAACCAGCAGCAGAAGTCGGGGAGATAGGAAACTTCCTTCCGCTCCCAGAGAGAATTTCTCAGGCCGGACCCACCAAAAAAAGGAAGGACCATGTGCAGGTTCCCGCAGGTTCATTTCACTTAGAGGTTTTCAACCTGTCTAATCCTGATCTCCTCCCCTAATTTATTTTATTTATTTCGTCAAGCATGTATTAGATAACATATATAACTATAAATATGATTTTGATTACATGAAATGGATTCCCCATGTCAGGAAAGAACCTGGAAAGAAGGTGGGACTGAAGAAAATTGCTTGGGAGGGTCTCACTGTTTGTCAACTCAGAGCTTCAAATTGCTCTCAAAGAAAAGTAAATAGTCCAGCAGTCAACAGGATGTGGCCTTTACACAGCTGTATGCGAGAAAAGCTGCTGGGAAATTAACCCAGAGTGAGAAAAACCATTCAGTTGTGGAATTGGGTTATCTAAAGTTTTTTGGGGGGTGACGGCAGTTAGCAAAAAAAAACACTTTAATTAATGATTTCCCTTGTAATCTTTGCCCCTTCATCTAGTTCCCATTTCTTGCTTGGGTGTGGCCCAAGGAAACCAGGCGGTATTGGAGGGGAGGGGGGTATTTCCTGCCCATCTGACTTATTAGCTGGTTGTGTGCATGGAGGCAGCTGGTGACCTTTTGAATTACAAAAGCTTTGGGTGGGTGGAAGGGAAAAGGGTGAGAGATCCTGTTTTATTGTTCCCCCAATGGCCTCTCCCCTTAGGAATGCATGAGAATAAGGGTGGTAGTGGTGGGAAGTAGCCCTAAGTTTTATCTGTAGGGGTAGTGCCATGGCTCCAGGGATTGTATTTGTGTCCTCTGGAAGGAAGTTCTTACGAGCTTCTGTGGAAAAGTCTCCCCCCTCCCCCACAGCTCTGAGTCCTTAAATAGCCTTAGTCAAAATATTCCAGCTCAGAATAGGATTTATTTTATGGTTTCCTTCTTCGATGGAACATTGGAAAAGCAGTGGTTATAAGCCCCCTCAAATATAATTTAAATGTTTTCACAACCCTGTGTTACAGATGAATAGAAAGCCCTATACTTTAATCAGTAGATTTACTAATTACTGAAACTAACGGTGATGATGAAAAAAAATGGAACTCAAGTCTTGAGATAAATGGTTATAATCTCTAACATAAGGGAGGCTCTTTTAAAAATAGAAATGATTCACGGAACAATTCTCTGTGGCTTTTAATGCCAGAAAATCATGTTTACAGCAGACAAAAAGTCAAAATAAACCAATACCATTAATCAATTTCAAAAGGCATTTCTACTCATTTGACAACTGATTAGGGTTGTTTTTTTTAATCTTGGCTTCCTCTGTGTTTCACTTTACTTGCAATCATGGATGATTAGCAAGATTGCGGTTGTAACATTTATTATCTAATTACCCAATTCCCATTGTTGGAATTCTTGTAGTTAATTCCCAACCCTTATAGACCACCATGTCCTTCTGATTCCTGGAAATGATGTTGCAATGCAGTTTTGCTGAAAAAAATGTCTGCTAAAGTTGGAACTGGTTAGGGAAGGGCTTGGAAAGTGGAGGGCTCGGCTTAGGCTCTTTATAGGGACCGACCTTAGCCAACTATAGAGGATCAAGTCCCTATTTAGAATTTAGTTTGATGTGTCATGATGTCCTTGGCTTCTCCTGGGCCATGCTAAACATAGCTAGAATTAATTATGAATATTTCATTAATTTACCTAACTTGGTGATCGAGGTTTGGTTTGAGCATGTGCAAAAAAGAACCTTACTGGAGAGGTGTCATTTTGCATGCAGTTCTGTTTTTATTTATCTAAATTCAAGATTTTTTTTCACATCAGGAGTCGATTCTATTAAACAATTAAGTACAATTTATTTTTAGCTTACTGCTCTGGGAATAGGGCATTTTTGCAATAATATTGTTCAAAGATCTTGGCAGTGGTAGGGTTCCTACAAAATCTGAGGTTGATAGAAAATGTTTTCTAATGCTTAATCTTTCAAAATGTTAAGAGTAATTGCTGCATTTAGGGTTACTTTTACAGACACTTCAGAACTGAGGAGGAGGGGGTCTCTTTCCAGTTACTTTTCTAGCTTCCTCCAATAGGTTTTTTTTTTGGGGGGGGGGACCTGCCTGTTGTAATTGAGATCTGACCAAGAGAATATGAGGTATTTTACTGGAGCAGCCATCTTCATACCCAACTGTTATGTGCATTTTAGCCACTTTTATTATAACATCTCCTCCTGTGGCTAATGAACCAAGAAACCTTGATCCATTAAGATCCTTGGGCCAGTTGATATAATTTAATAAGTCAATAAACAAAATAATGGAGGAGGAAGAAGGATGATGGCCTTGTACTTAAAAGTCTTCTCAGTGTGGGCTTTTCTGTAGGAAAAGGTGAAATTACTCATACTAAAAATTAATGTGGTGGAGAAGAGCCTTGCATTTCTGTATGAATGGTAGAACTTGCTGTCCTTGGGAAGATAAAATCACAATTTGGAGAGTGCTTGTTAATGACATTTGGCTGAACTCAGATGAGGGTGATGTGTTGTGCTCTATGATTTCTCAGCAGCTTTTACTAGCATCAATCATGGTCCAGCTGGGAATGATGGGCACCATATTATGGTTCTTAATGATTTGTTGGTTGCAATGGGTATTGATGTCTTAGGGGTTGAAAGTCACCTTTGTATTTAATATTTCCATGATACTTCTGGGTGAAGTCATCTATCCAAAGGGGTGAGGATTTTTTTTGGTGGGTGGGGCTTTGTCTGGGGATTGTCATGTGTGTTAGGCCTGGTCTCTGGGTGTCATATTAATTTCGTTGTATGTGTATACACATACAATGACAATAAGGTTTATATATATGACCAGCATGGTAATGGTACCTAATGATATGTCTTGATACAGAGCCATATGTGTGATATGGTCCATGTCCTGTCTGGAGGTTGTTCAAATCAGACTTGGGCTCAAGCCTAACAAGACCTAATACTTGTGGATATTTGTGTTCCTCAGTTCCCAGGATTTTCCATCTTTAGTTCTGGATGGAGTAGTACTTTCCCATTTGACACTGGTGTGTTTTGGAATCAAGAGGCAACTTTACTTAAGAAGGCCTTAGTAACCTTCCATCAATCATGAAATTACTCATCCCTTGGTAATCAAACATTCATGATCACACACTCAGTTTGTGTCCTTAACTTAAGAACGGTTGCTTAATGACCATTCAAAATTATGACAAACTCAAACTCCCTCCCACATTTTCTGTAAATGGGGCCAATTTCTCAATGATTGGTACTAATTGCCACTGGTCACCTAAAAACATGATTTGGGAACCCTTGTTAAGGTGGTCAGTGAATGGTGCCAAGCAAGCATGGACATATCCAGATGGTAGCCAAGAACTATCTTCGAGGGAAGCTCTACCTTTAATTTTTGTCAGCAGTGAATCACATTTCATTCCTCTGCACTGAGGTTTTTTTTATTCTTCTCTCAAATGCTTAGTTTTTTTAAAGTACATTTTTAGAAATTGTATTTGATTACCGATAGTAGTACCATATATCACTTTATTACATTCTGTACTATCCTGGTGTGCCAGTTGATTGCTATTGCTTTCATGATAGCCCTCTTGGTCTCTGGTCCTTTTGATTTCTTTGAATGTTGGCTTTGACAGCTCTTCAATATTTCCTTTATACATAAATGCCTCTGTAGATTAACCAAGGATTCCTTTCAATAGAAACTTAATGGAAGAATAGAAACTGCAATTAACCATAGCCAGCAGTCAAAAGGTTTCATACAAAGTAGTGTGCGTTGATCTCAACCTTTTTTCTTTGTCCTCTATTTTATCCAGTGTGGTGTGATCCATGTCTTCATTTGATATTTGATTTGTCTCTACAGCCATAAGATCAGCTAATTAATTTTGAAGTCAAAGCCAGCTTTGTATAAATGCAAATAGCAGCTAATATAACAGATAGAAAATGAGCAGGAGAAATGGGCAGAGGAATTGTGGATCTGTATCAGTAACATACCTTGCAGGAAATCTTTTGAAGACACCTGTGCCAAGTCTTGAGTGCAATTCCAGTCTTCTGCTAAAACTGGCTAGTTTTAATCAGTCTAGGAAGCCATGCACAGTTGGACCTGTTTAGAGTAGAATTCTTTATTGGCCAAGTGTGATTGGACACACAAGGAATTTGTTTTTGGTGCATATGCTCTCATTGTACATAAAAAAGATAAGATACATTCATCAAGAATCATAAGGTACAACACTTAATGATAGTCTTAGGGTACAAATAAGCTAAGGAAACAATAAACCATAAGGATACAAGCAACAAAGTTAAGCTTGATTGATTGGTATGGGACATCACCGAGGAAATCCTAGGTTGTGAGAAGTCAAAGTTCTAGAAGATTTCGTACTATTGCCAAGAAATTTTCATGAACAGGTTTACAGTCTCATTAAAAACTTCAGAACATCCTTGACTTTGCTATCTCTTTTGTTAAAAGTGAGTCATATCATTGCCAATGTGCTGTGGCATCATCCCATCCTCTGCTTTTAAGCAAACATCTGTGGTGATGGGTATTTAGTATGTAAGTCTGAATACACATTTATGCATGTTGTGCATATGCTGGAGGTGGACCGGCCTCTGTGTCTTCTTGCGCTTTGCTAATAGTTGAATAAAACTGTAGCATCTTGTAAATGATGACTACCAGTTGGTATGTTTTCTTTCTTTCATTCAGGTGGCTATGAAAGATTCCAGTCAGAATATCCAGAATTCTGCACAAAGACAAAATTTCTTACAGCAGCCTCAACTTTGGCACCTGTGGAGCATCTGGATCATAACTGCAGTTCCTGTGGGACACCACAGTATGATCAGGTAGGCTGGCTTCTCTACGCTTCAAAGCTCTTTGCTATCTGAAGCAAAAAGCTTCCTTTATTTATTGATGGCATCCAGGTCCCTCTGGTGATATACACAGGGGTTCTCCTCTTGAGTTTAATTTCATTGTGCTTGGTGGTGAGTCATATATGATGCAGAACAGCATCCAAGCTAAAACATGTTTTTTATAGTTATAAAATCCTAAAATCAAGACAGAATTTTTCTGTGTAAAGCAGAGATCTTCAAACTTGGCAACTTTAAGACTTGTGGACTTCAACTCCCAGAATTATCCAGCCAGCAGAGCAGAGCTGGCTGCAGAATTCTGGGAGTTGAAGTCCACAAGTCTTAAAGTTGCCAAGTTTGGGGACCCCTGGCGTAAAGCAATGGCAGCTGTAGGGAGTTTCACAATCCTTCCGGAGATGTTAAGGTTCTGATCTGGTAATACAAAGCAAACAAAATCATTTTCAGAACTGAACGAACTTCTGTTGGCAAATAGAGTTATGAAAGTTGAGCACAAGTAGTTGTAGAAAGGACACAGAAGGAACACACGGGCTGGAATTTCAGGTTCTCCAAATTTACAAGGGCAAGTTGTTATACTTTTCTCTAGTATTGTGGGGGGATTCTCCTCTTTTTTTGTATCTCACCTTGTGAGATAGATTGGCCTGAGATGTAGATTGGTTTGATCCCAAGCCATCCAGTGAGTTCTGTGGTCAAGTGAGGATGTAACTAGGTTTTCCCATCTGCTCCAAAATTTAACCATGACGTTCATATTGGGAAATGTAAATTTAGTAGCATAGTGAAGCATAGAGATAAATCAAAGCAACTTGCTTGCTGCGTGGGCACAAACAACTTAAGTTTCTTTTCTCTCTGCACAGCATTGTTGACCAGAAAGCTCTAGGTAATTTGTTGTCAATTGGAGTGAAATGGGAAGAAAAATAAATCTAATTGAGAAACAGGGCAACATTTTTTATTGCACTTTTTCTTTTCTTCGCTTTTGCTTTTTGAAAAGATAGATTCAGATGTGCTCCGGATGGGTGCATAGGGATGCAAATCTGTAAATCTCTGCATGCGCTTTTTAGCTCAACAAAGAAAATGGGCAGGACCTGCATATCATGCATTGATGTTCTTGGTTGGACCCATGTTTTGTGTCTTGGCCTCCTAATGAAGATGTGTAGGCTAGATATGGTTTATTTTGGGAAGCGCTGTTGGCTCTAGAGTTAAAGAGCCAATTAAGTGAAGAGTAAGGGGTATGATGTGAGACCCTGTTACTGAAGTTGGGAATCAGTTGGGATTGTTTGCTGCTGTACCAGCCTTCCTGCCGAGTAGCAGCCTCCCTGCCGGAGGTCCTTGATTCAGTTTCCCAAGCTGGGAGTTCTGGGAGATTTCTCTTCCCTTATTGCAACTGCAGGTAGTCACCCAATGGTCTTGTTTATGGTGACCCTCCTTGGAAAGGAGGACTCTGAGGTTTACAGGGGCTTGAGGCCTTCTGGATCTGGGATTTTACCATTTAGCTGTTAGATCATAAGGTATTGGCCAAACAGACCTGGTTTGGGGATTCTTCTAAAATCATGACTTCTGCTGGAGGAGCAGGTGGCAGTCATAGCTAGCAGGACCTTTGTACTGTTTAACTTCTTGTTGTGTTCCAGATGCAACCTTCCTTGCACCCTGAGGCTCTAGTCGCATTTACTCATGCCATGCTCCTCTCTAGAATGAATTATTGTAATACGCTGTAATACCTTTAAAAAGTATTTAGAGGCTTTAGCTAGTGCAAAATGCGGCTGCACAGTTATGTCTGCCTTTGTATGGTATAAATTACATCTCTTCTGTGAGCTCAGCCAGTTGCCAGTTTGCAATCTGGGTGCAATCGAAGGTGATGGATTTGACCTTTAATGCCCTACGTGCCCTGGGACCAAGTTATTTGAGGAACTACCACTTCCTAGTTACATCTACTCGTTTCATCAGGTTGAGCAGCTGAGGTATGCTACCAGTCTCATCTACTAAGCATTATATATCTGGTGGGATCTAAGCAGCATGCCTTTTGTGCTGTGGCCCCTGCTCTATGGAACATCACGTGACTGCAGGGGGTATGTGATGCTCCTAACTTTGAGAATGGGATGTAACTTTGCGTGGGTGGGGGAATTCCATCATAACTTTGAATGGTTGATAAGTGACTGGATGTTAAGCAAGGATTACCTGTACTGTACAAAAGTTTTGTCCTGCAACTGATTAAGAGATTGAATCAATAAAGTTAAAACCTGAGCTCCTGAGCAGGGTATTTTATAAAGGAATGTGATACTCTTGCACTAACCTTTTCTAGACTCTTCTTCATATTGCGTTACTACCTTTTAGCTTGTCAAATTAGATCCAGAGACTTATATAAAGTAACCAAGAACTGAAAAGAAAACAGAATAGGTAGATAGCCCTGAATGATTTCATTCAGTTGTGAAACTGAAATAAAATAACTTGCAACCTAAAAATCACACAGCAGATGTATGTTATTTTACATCAAGGTGTATGCGTGTGTAATGTATTTATGCAGATGTATTAACTCTTAATCATAATAAAGTATTTTAATTGCAATAGTATTACAATAATAGTAACAAAGAATCGCACAATAGTACAAAAACAAAGACTAGGATTGCTTTGATTAAGATGGCTTCAATTCTGGCAAACACTGGTTCACTAACAGAGTTCCTTGATTAATTTCTAGGATAAATGATCTTTGTGTTTAATTGGAACTTGGTGAGCTTTCTCTGCCTAATAGTAGAAATTCCAGCCCACATGTATTTTAAGGTTCAGGTGCCATAAACCTGCGTACTTTCCAAAAAGGAGAATGTATTGAGTGACAGATCGTGTTCAGGGGACAGGAGAGGAAGGATCTCCAAAATCCCTATTTTGGGATAAAACTATTTTAGCTTTAACTCTCAGCAACTAAGCTTATTGCCCCTCAAGAAAAGATTAATACTCTTATAACCAAGGAATGTACAAATCCACACAAATGACAAAAGAGCCAGTGAAATTCCTTCTCCAGCCATGTGATTGCATATGTAACAGAAATTAGGTAATAAAAACAGCTTATTCCTTGGAATGCATGTAGGCTGAAGCAGAGTTGTCAGGTTCCAAGTTATCCAGAGAGAATAGTGGAACAAACTTGCCCTCGTTTGTGATAAAGAGCCGTGGCGGCATTGTAGTTAGAATGCAGTATTGCAGGCTAACTCATTGCTCACTCCAGGAGTTCGAATCTGAGCGACTCAGGGTTGACTCAGCTTTCCATTCTTCCAACGTCGGTAAAATGAGGACCCAGATTGCTGGGGGCAATAGGCTGACTCGGTAAACCGCAAAGCACTGTGAAGTGGTATATAAGACTTAAGTGCTATTGCTATCTTCTGCCAATCTCAACCCTGGAGGAATCCAGTGAAAATTATGAAACCCTTTCTAGCTGCTAGTACAACAGACCACTATATTGGCTTGTTCTGAGCTTAGCACACTGAACCAAACCTGCAGTACAAAGTTACAGACAAAGAACAACAGTGCTGTCATTAAGGAAGTGATAAAGTGCATTCCAAAGTTATTTGCTAGCAGGTATGAAAGTTTATTTGGAGAAGGGCAGTAAGTGTGCATTTTTTCCCCTTTGCTGTCAGCAACTGATATGGAGCCTTGGGTATATATTTCACCGTGTTGTCTGTCCAAAAACCTGATTAGGAGTTACATGTTCACTGTGACTCAGCAGGCTGGCACTTGTAAATAAAATTTAGAGAGACCTTTTTGCCAGCATGCATTTTGGTTTAAGGGACCGGGGATGGGTGGGGATTTTGAATATTAAAAATTGTGGGAAATATCAGAACATAGACAAATTTCTGTAGGTCTTGGTTGTCAATCTACAAATGTAATTTAACTGCAAACAACAGAGACTGTGTGCTTATAGTCTCTGATTTTTGGACTGAAATGTAGCTGTGGAAAGAACATGTTGCAACCTGTACAGTTAAAGCACAATTTAGTTATGGGAGTAATATTTAGTACCTTGAGGTTAGTGAAAAGAAGCCATGAAGTGGATGAACACTGTTGGCTGTTTGGGATAAACATTTTCTGAGTTATCAGAGAGCATCTGGACTCCGACCATCTTTTCTTAGCAGGGTGGGCAAGTTCCTTTATTGTCAAACTTCAGATTTAAACTTCTATTTAAATATTCTCTAAACAGAAAAGATTTTTAAAAATTAAATTATAAAATAAGAAAGAGCTAAAGCTATATGGAAATAGATGAGCAGATGCAATCAGCAAGTCATAATTGAATGTTAAAAATAAAATAGATTAGCAAGATGAGAAAATTTCCCAGTGGAGAAGACACCATGTGCATCTAGAGAGGAGCCTACAGAAGTTCAGGTCCTTTTTGAAAGAATTGGTGAGATGTTGACCACTGCCAGTATGTTGGGTTTTTTTTGTTCATAAGTCCTGCGCTTTTCTTGTTTCTTACACTGTCCCCTCTTTTTCATTTTTCCCTCTGACGTAGGGTGGACCAGTGGAAATCTTGCCTTTCCTCTTCCTTGGCAGTGCTCATCATGCAGCTCGGAGGGACATGTTGGAGGCCTTGGGAATCACGGCCTTATTAAATGTTTCATCGGACTGCCCCAACCACTTCGAAGGACACTTTCAATACAAGTGCATTCCAGTAGAAGATAACCACAAAACTGACATCAGCTCCTGGTTCATGGAAGCCATCGAATACATAGGTAAGATAATGGTAAAGAGTGCCACGTTGGTGGAGATGATTGGATTTTATTTCATTTATTAAATTTAAACCACTGAATAGCTAAAGCCCTGGGCAATTTACAACAAAGCATACTAAAAATTTGAATAAAAACATAAACCATAAAATCAAGTAAAATGTTTGGAGTAGTGATTAAGGCATCAGGTTAGAAGTGGGAGACATTGAGTTCTAGTCTTAACTTAAGCACAAAGCCAGCTGGGTGACCTTGGGCTATTCCCTTTTCCTTAGCCTTGAGAAGCAGATAAAACCACTTCTGAAAAACCTTGCCAAGAACACTGTGGCTACTTGAGCAGGCGGTCATCAGGAATCAAGACTGACTCATGGGTGTGCATGTGCACACAAATACACAAAGCCAAAGAAACCATCATATAAACTAGGCAGCTGCAAGGCAGTTCATTCTGCACCTAAAAACGTACAAATGAAAAGCCAATTAAGAAGTTTGGGAAAATAGGTTCTCACCTGCTGCCTGAATAGTGCTAATGTGTGCACCAATCAAGTCTGGCTGGGGAGCAATTTGATAAATGGGGGTGTTGCTGCAGAAAAATAGCTCTCCTTGAATGTGGACTGCATAGTTGGATGCAAGTTGTAGAGCCCAAGTTTCTAATCCTAGAATTGTATTCTTCAGAAATTTGACTGTCCATTTTCTAGTTCAGGATGCAGAATTTTGACATACACTATGCTGTGCTTTTGTGGATGTGACACTTCCTTTGTGTACAGCAGATGATGCTCTTTTTTTTAAAGCAATGTTCTCAACAGCTTTACTATCACACATTAGTTAGATCTCTTTGAACCTAGTCTTTCTGCCTTCCTATTACATCTGCTCCTTTGCTGCATCAAACAGAAGAAAAGCCCCAGTGCTGTTTCTGGGCACGGCGGGAGGGGAAAAGCTACAGAGTTTTATTAGAACTAAAAGCTCTGTTTCCCCAACTTTCTAACATCTGGTAATAGAACTAATAGACACACCCCTCCAGAGCTTTGAGTTTTTTCCAGCTGTAACTATGCATTCTGTGGAGAGGAGAGATATTTTTGTATAGCCACCTATCTCAATCCAGTTGACTCAGGGAGGAGTTAATTTGAGAAGCGCAGCAGAAGTTTTGCATATGACCAGGAGCCTCACTTGAGGCCAAGATTTAAGTTCTGCAGGAAATTCAGAACTGAGCTTGAATAAAGAAAGCTATTCTCCAAAGTTCTTGGAAAGAGCTCCTTTCTGAACAAATGAAGGAGATTTTCCCAGTCACTATTCATTACTCCATTCTTGTGATATGAACAATGCACACAAAATTGCAACATAATTTAGATTGTTTTGTGCATACCGTATATCACACCTTGATATCTAGAACTAGATACAGCTTACCTCCTGTGGAGGAGTCCTGGGTAGATATTTAGTCTAACACAAATACTTTGTGAGGGATGTTTTGCTTGCATTCAACTGAGGGGTATTAAAAATTGTGCTATTGGAGCCTGATGATAGATAGATGTATGGATGGATGAGATTTATATGCACCATGCCCTTTAAAAAAACCCTTTCCATGTAAGAAAAGCTGATTCATGTGACTTTGGATATTTGTACATCCTTAACTACTGGTAGGCATACGTGGTAGACATCTTCCCTGCTTCCCGACATTTTTTCACATATTTTGAAAGGATTGTCAGAGTGTAATTAATATTTTCTTTAAAGAGCACCTTCCACATGCTGTAAAAGATGTTAACTAAATTATACTCTTGCCTTTTTATTTATTAGATTGCTTTACATAGCCGCCTAATTGGCCAGCCACTTGGGGAGCTGTATAAAGTGATCCAATAAATAAAGTGGGGGCAGGCGAGATTTCCAAGGCCTTCGGGGGGATTGTGGCCCGCAATTGGGTCAGAAATACATTTTTTGGGTTGAAATTTAATAATGCTTCTGCTCTGCTCCCCTAGACGCTGTTAAGGTGTGTCATGGACGGGTGCTTGTGCACTGCCAAGCTGGCATCTCCCGATCAGCTACCATCTGTTTGGCTTATCTAATCATGAAGAAGCGAGTCAAGCTTGAGGAGGCCTTTGAGTTTGTCAAGCAACGTCGGAGCATCATTTCTCCAAACTTCAGCTTCATGGGTCAACTGCTTCAGTTTGAATCCCAAGTGCTGACCACATCATGTGCTGCTGAGGCTGTGAGCCCCTCAGGAACGCTACGAGAAAGGGGGAAGAGCTCCTCCACGCCTACGTCCCAGTTCGTTTTCAGTTTCCCTGTCTCTGTGGCAGTGCATTCCACTTCAAGCAGCCTCCCTTACCTGCATAGCCCTATCACCACCTCTCCCACCTGCTAGAGTAAGCCTTTGGGGTTACACCTAGGGACGTCGAAGGACACAATCCTACAGCCCCGTTGGCAATCACTATAGGCAATAAAAACTCTGCTCCCTCCCCCACTCCCCTACAGCCAAATGGAATGCACCAAAGATGGAGCAATTATGGTCAACGTTGCAGCTAGAACGGAACCTAGTGGGGCGGTGGTTCTGGCATGTTCTTTCTTGGCAAGATGTTTTACCTCATTTTCTAAAATTATATAAAATATAAAAAGCTTGAAGTTTTAAAGTCCTGATAATGTTTTGGGGTGTTGGGGAGGGAAAGTCAAAAGAAAGTCAAAGGAAAGTCAAGGGCTCAAATGTGGTTGAACATCAGGCTGAGTTGTGTTAATCTGAGCCAGTGGTCCCAATATTTTGGACTATAGATTTCAGAATTTCAGCCAGCGTGAACCTACAGTCCCCAAATACATAAGGGTGAGCAGGTTGGAGTATCTGCGTATGTGTGAAGAGCTTGCTAGGGCAGGGCACACTTCAAAAACGATTGGGAAGGAAAGTTTTGGGTCTTATGTGAGCAGAGCCTCTCTGCTTTTTTTTATCGAAGCACCTTGTCTTTTTCAGGCTTCTGCATAAGCAATAGTTGCATTAAATAAAGCAGCTATTAAAAATAGCTGCATCTTTTGATCAGCCTTGCTTGAAGCCAGAATCAAGGGCTGCTTTATCAAACGCACAAGAAGTCTTGGATTTAGACAAGGTCCAAAACAAGGTGTCCAATTTGGTTTTGAAATGTGCATTCTCCTAGTGTCTGCATCTGATCACCTTGTATCAGCAGCAACCCCTGAGGTGGACATATTTTATTAAAGTGCCTGGTTTTTGGAGTTCTTGATTGGAATTTATAACATAACCTAATGCCACCCATTTTGCTAAGCTGAAGTTTTGCATAAAGAAAGGGAAAAGAATTGAAGGCTCACTGTGAAGTGACCAGATTCTTTCCATGTGTCTGAAACCAATTTAAAATGAAAAAAATAATGCATTTGGATTTATGAACAAAGGGAAGATACTATTTTTGAGACAACTTGGGAAATGCCAGCAAACCTGGAAATGCTTGCTTGTCCTCCCAGCTTTTGCCTCTGAGGGTGATGTGACAAGAACAGGGTCTTCATGTTTATATAGGATTCTTGGTTCCTGATTATGCCTCTCTGGTATGATAATTTGATCAGCCCTAAGTTAGTAACCTGTGGCCCTTGTTTCTCCTCTTGCTGGGAAGGAAGCTTTTTATATCACCTGAATAATAGTAAACGGGCTTCACTGACACAAATGGATAGGTATGTTTTTTCCTTCTTCATCTAACACAGGCCAGATTCCCTGCATGCCAAGTGATTTAGTGTCTTGAGTCATCAGGGAAGAAAGCATTCTTCCAAGCAGCATCTCCAGCAGTGACTTGCTGAAGATGCTCAAGTCTCATAAGCTCCAGTCAGTATAGCCAACTTTTAAGGATAATAGAAGCTGACAGAATATTTGGTGAGAATCCGATTAGGAAAGGCTGAATCTTTCCCAGGCATGCTGGCTTGGGAATTATGGGAGTTGAAGTCCACACTTCATAAATTTACCATGGTTGAGCAACACTACTTTAAAATAATCCTTCATGTGGATCCTCAAAGAAGATTTAAGTGTTGCACTCTCCCTCCCCACGAATCCTACATAAAGTGGAAACTAAGACCTTTGCAGCCACCTTAAGAGAAAGGGCATGGAGGGAGATATTTTTTTCTTTAAGAGAGATGCCAGCCTGTAGGATTCCTAGATAGCAAGGATATACCCTTTGGTTCAGATCAAACTCCTCTGATTTAATGCTGAAGCCAATTTTAAGTAGGAATTTTGAGCAAAACATACAATTCCTACTGGGATTTAGCCCTCATTTCTTTTGAGGTATATCCTCACGCTGTAAAATTCCTGGCCTTTCTCCAGTCCCTGGAGTCTCCAGACTCCTGGCCTTTCTCCAGTCTCACATTGCTGTCCCCGCCCCAAATTGGGCCCATCACGTTATGCCAAAGATAGCCACATGAATCTTCTATGCTTAAGCTAGTCTTTCAGAATAGAATGGTTTCATGTTTTGCTCCTTGATGATTATATAGCTTGGGAGAGTTTTACTCTGAAGAGATCTTTGACTTCCTTAAAAGATTAGCTTATTTTTACTGTAGCACGTCAGGTGCCTATGGATGATAAGTGTTTTCACAGGCAGGATCTTGCAGGTTCTGCCACCGGTGGGTACAATATGGGAAGTTTGCACACCCCTTCGAACATGACTTGGCCTACCCTTCAGTCAAAGTTTTTGATACCACACCTAGCCCAATTGTGTGTATTTTATATAGAATGTCTAAATTGCATGTGTGTTTTTTTTAGATTGTGACTCTGTTTAATTTATTGCTTGATAATTAGTTGAAATAAATTTTCAGCTGTGGTTACTTTTCATAATGAAAATTAAAAGGCTCATTCATTCTTTTTTGCGTACTTATGGTTGCAGTGTCCCAGAGTCAGGTCAACTTTTGCGACCTTCTGACAAGCAAAATCAATGAGGAAGCCACGTTCACTTAACTGTGTTACTAACTTAATTGCAGTGATTCACTTAACAATAGTGGCAAGAACGGTTGTAAAATGAGGCAAAACTCAATTGTCTTGTTCTAGAAAAACAGAACCTTTGTGTTCAGTTGTGCTCATAAGTTGGGGACTACATGCATTGGTTTTGCATTCAAACCAAAGCAGACTTCCTACTATTGGGAGATATATATTTTTTCTATTTAAAATGGGATATCAAAAAACGTGCTTTTGAATGATATCTTGCAGCAAATTTAGGTAGGTCCTAACAATATTTTTGTACCCTTCAGGCCTACTGGAGGCTGATTTTAGGCCTTTAAAAAAATATTTCCCACCTTTCTCAAGTACTCAAGGTTGTTTTGCTTTATTCCAAGCAAATTTGAGTTGAAAGATATAATTTCACTTTGTGAAACATGTTTATAAGGAAACAATGATAAAAATGTGGTTTACATCAGTGGTCCCCAACCTTTCTGGCTTGGTAGACTGGGGCTGGGGGAAGAGAGGATGGTTCAGTGAGAGCAACAGATGTGTGCACCACTCCTATAAGTGGAGCTGCATGCACTGATCCACCACTTGTGCAGTCCAGTGGCCTGGTACCGGGCCACAGTCCGTGGGTTGAGGACCCCCCGGTTTATACAATGAGCATATTAGGGATATGTCTGGCCAAATACATGATACACTGAAATACACTGTTATCTGTGCAGAGGGGAATACTGTGAACAAAAGGCATTTTGAAAAGGAAATGAAATAGTAAGCTAGGAAGGAAATCTTAACAGATCTTAATCTACTATTAGTATTATTACAGGAGAATAGTTAATATGTCATAATAAAAATACAAATGTTCAAGTTTTAAAAAGGAGAGTTTATTGATTCTGTCACAAGATACTATATGTCTGACATTTAGTGAAAGCACAAGAAGAGCTAACTTGTTACATTGGCTTTATGCAAAATTCAATCACAATGTTAAATTAAGAGAATCTAACTCTTAAGAAAAAAAGGAAATAACCAACTCCAGGTCACAGACAATGAAGAAACTATACTGAGACTTTATATGTTCTTCTATTGCCAAAAGAAATCAAGAATACCAGGCTAGCTATGCAAGTTACACAGGATTATTTTAAAAATGCAAAGCTAGTACTTTAATGCCTATGAAAATAACAGATGCCAAGATGATCTAAAGATACATATATTATGGCAGAGGCCATCAACCTATATAAACAAAATCACCAATTCTGAAAACCTGCTGGAAGTCTTGAAGGCATTATAAATAAATAAAAATTTTGTTGAAATTGCACTACAAACGAAGTCTTTAAAAACCTTTTACCAGTAATTATTTTTCTGCAGAACCAGTACACAAAAACATCTATTTTCATGTTAAATAAATTACAAAAATTGTGATCAGATATTCAGATGCAATTTTTTCTTTTTTCTTTCTTTAAAACTACAGACTAAAGGGGACATGAATGGAAGACAGGAAGAGGAAAATTGTGCCTTACATTATGGCACAAACTCTTATGGAACATTTCTGCTCCATAAACAAGCAAATGCTAGAATATATTTGTTAGCCTTTAAACTGCTACAAGACTTTGTTTTGATACAATAGATGTTTTACAGCTACTTCTTTGAAAACTGCTGTTAGTCTGCCTCATTTTTTCCTCATCAAATAAAGCTTTACAAAAATCTTGTGCAAAGCACAGTTATGTCACAGATGCCAAACTTGCAGTGTCTCATTGCCGTCACATGACATTTTGCAACATTTTCCCCATTTGTGGAGCTGGGGTGGGTGTGGCCTGCGCATGACGCATCTGACCAATGAGCTGCCAGTTTGACACCTTAGTCTTAGTCTAAATCATTAGCATTTGGCACCAAATATAAATTCTATAAATAGAACAAATATACATTACCTTTTCATAACCAATTGTTATTGTTTAATCTTTTTTGAATAATTTGGTATAATTTTGGCATGGGAGGGGGTACCCAAGGAATGAATAACACCAGAGCCCTGCTTTCAAGCCCTAGAAATTTTGATTCTAGGGTTTTAGCTATATGTATCGTTTTCCAATACGCTGCTCGGAGAGTCCAAGCATGGGTTAAATTCAGCAATCTGCCCAGGACTGAATTGAAACTTTAGCCATGCCTCTGGTGTTGCCTTGACTTGCCAGATTTTCAATTCAGTCAAAGTCCAGTGGACGCGTTTTAGTTTCTGTCAGTTCTTGGACTCCCTAATTTAATTTCTTAAGTTCCTTTAGTGGTTTTTTTTGTTTTCCCCCATTATTTTCTTCCACAAGAGAGCAAGAGCGATGAGCAGCACCTTTTTAAACTTCCCTTTTATATTTTTTTTTTACTTTTCCATCTTTTTCCCTGGCTCCCATGGTGTCCCGGTCTTGCTCAGGCCCTGTGGAGGTCACAGGCGACTGCCGGTTGCAGCATGGGGTCGGAGTGCTGACGCCCATGCGATCCCTTTTTTCCGGCAGGGCTCTTCATTGCTGCTGTCTGTGCTTGCTGGGGAGCTGGCTGCTGGCTCGGAGCCTCAGCAGGCTTATTTCTTGCTTCCAGTGGCCATTTTGGATTGCATTTTTGGAGCGGCCGCCATTTTGTTTTTTGCTTTTTCCTGCGTTTCTTGCCTGCAGGTGCCATTTTACTGTCCTGCTCACATCAGATCGCCGCAGCAGACCACTTGTCTGGACCTCTGGCAGGGTCTTTGTTTGGGATTGCCTTCCTGCGGTTCAAGACTTCCCTTGGCCTCAGTGATCAGATTCGTGATTAGAGGACCTGTGCTAGTGCTGGGAGTGGGTGACTCACACCAGATTTACTGCCAGCTTCTCTCATTTTCCTAACTGCTGCCTTCAGTGTCTCCATCTCGGGAGGGCTAAGGCTGTACCCCAGGGTCTCCCATGTGGTGAGTGAAGAGCCCCCAGTTCCCTTCCA